GATACCGCGCCCTGTGATACCGCGCCCTGTGGTACCGCGCCCTGTGATACGGGGCCCTGTGATACCGCGCCCTGTGATACCGGGCCCTGTGGTACCGCGCCCTGTGATACCGCGCCCTGTGGTACCGCGCCCTGTGATACCGGGCCACAATGCCGCTCCTCTGGAGGACGGAGGAGGTTTGGGGAAATTGTGATGAAAACAAGATGCTGTGGAGCGTTTTCATCTTAATGGATTATTGAATCATTTCAGGATTAGCAAAATGTAGGTCTCATGTATGGAAAGTTTTAAAAGACATGACAATCACTACAATAATGGGTAATGTACCTTAACAGCTTTAATATACATTAATAACAAATACATTAATATGATAATACGTGATAATTGTATAATGTTTGCTATTAATATACATTACAGCTGTTAAGTATGTTAGGATGTTAAGGTACAGTCGTGAAAAAATTAGGACCCCCAATAAGTATTTAGTACTTTATTAAGAAATATCAACATGTCAATTTTAAATCTTGTTTTTAAATTATATTTCTAGATAAAGATGATGTAATTGCATCACCTATGCAAAAACAAGAAACAAATTCACTTATTTAACAAAGGAAATTCCTACTGAGGAAAATGTGAGGACACCCTGTGCTTTGGTCTCTAGTATTTCCCCCTTTGGCTGAAATAACCTCAATGACACGTTTCCTATAACCATCTATCAATCTCTGACATCGACTGGCAGAAAGGCTTCCCCACTCTCCAATGCAGAATTCCTTAAGCTGTGTGATGTTTGAAGGATGTCCTGCATGCACTTCTGCTTCAAATCACCACACAGCATCTCAATAGGATTCAGATCCGGGCTTTGACTTGACCATTCCAGAACTCTCCATTTCTTTCTTCTAAGCTTTTTCTTGGTAGATTTACTGGAATGTTTTGGGTCATTGTCATTTGCATGGTCCACCCCAACTTCAGCTTCAACTTCTGGACAGATGATCTTACATTTTCCTCAAGCACCCTCTGATACGATGAAGAATTGATAGTGGATTCTATGATGGATTCTATGGTCCTGAGGTGGGTATCGGCCGGCCGCTGTCCGACGCCCTGTGCCCGCATGCCCTGGCAGCTGTCTGAATGGAGTATTAGAGTCTAAAATAGCCTTGGAGCTTGTGGGCTTGGAGCCAGATGCTCCTTAATCTCTGTAGGCTGAGACTCCCAGTTATTGTTTGTGCTTTTCCGGAGAAGAAGTCTGGCTCCGTGATCAATCCGTGGGGGTAAAATATGGATGAAGCCTCTGGGTTTTGCCTGTTTTGCGTTCTTTGCCTCTCCTCTCCTTCTGGGCTTGTTAACCAGGAATTTGTAATAATACATTAATAACTTAAAAGTTCGTAACTCTTAAAACTTGCAGTGGGGAAAATGTGCTTAGCTTGAATATCTGAAAAGTCCATGAGTTTAGATTCATGCGGCTGTGGAGTTATTAAGTGGGTGGTTTATTAGTACTTAAGGCGTTTTAGTGACTGACCAAATGACTGAAGTAGATTGGCTATAAATTCACCAGTGATTCTGTAGAATTTGTGGTCTTTTTCACGACAAAGTTGGTGCCTTTAGCACTCCACGTGCCCAGTTACACGGGGACCTCCTAGCAGACCTGGGCGGGCGGGGTTTACACCTGTTTATGAGGATTTGCGGATTTGTTAAAGCCTTAGCCCTGTAGAAACCTCATCTTGCGTGTCTGATGCCTGTCGGAGCTCTGCGATGAAACTGATTTCATTAATCGCTGGAAAACGTGCTTGTGACCTTGCTTGGAAGATTTTCCACCCTCTCATCTGTCCAAAAATATTACTAAATAGATTATGGCCTAGAGCCAGATCAAAGCAGAGCTTTCATTCAGCTTTTAATGAGGCCTACCACGGACTCATTATTTGATAGTCTAATTGTGAGGAGATGTGTCTAACCAGATAGCCATCCTTTTAAGTGAAAGCTGATCATTTTTTCTTTATTCCAAATAAAAGTGATTAAGGTCATTCGTCTTTCTGAAACCATGATAATCTGCTGAATCATTTATGCTTCATGTA